AATACTGCAATTTGTGGGGTTCACTGGGTAAGATCATTGATACCTTTTTCTCCCCTAGTAGCTTAATACTGCAATTTGTGGGGTTCACTGGATAAGATCATTGATACCTTTTTCTCCTCTAGTAGCCTGCATAGCATCTCCCAGCATTATGAAAGCTAATCAGTAGAGAGGAACTTTCCACCTCCTAGATTTTTTTCATATTTTGCAACTGAGGAACAATGTCTTATATATCGGTTTGGGGGATTCTGAGGCTTCCCTGTCCCAAAAACTCATATGAAAGTATTCCATACCTGATACTGGGAATTTTGTTTGGTAACCACTGATTCTAGGAGCATCAGCATGTAAGTACTATCCCTTAAAATGTTTTTAAACTACATTTTTATACGATACTAAATATAATAGATTTTCTTATGCCTTTTTCACACACCCTTCATTTTGGTAACTGCCATTCCCAACCTTTCTCCTCCCTCACACCACTGCCCTCCCAGATGAAACATTTCAACTCCCTCTACTTTCATCTTACCTATATTGTACTATCTCAACTCCCTTAAGGTGTCTCCCTACCAATAGTCCTTTCCTAAACTGGTAGCACACATTTTTAATCCAGCATTTGAGGTAGAGGTAGATGTCTCTCTGTGAGTTCAAGGCCAGTCTTGTCTACATAGCGGGTTCCAAGCCAGCCAGGACTACATAGTGAGACCTTGTCTCCAAAAAAGCCCCATTATAGTTGCCTGGTTTTCACTTGAACATCAAGTTAAACACACAAAACTAAAGACTCAAAACTAGAATCCACATATAAGTGAGAATGTGCATTTCTCTTCATGGACCTCTGTTACCTTATCAAGTATAATTTCACCCATTTATCAGTTTGCTTAAATTTTTCATAGTTTCATTTTTCTTTAGTGCTAAATAAAATTGCATTGTGTGTATGTACCACATTTTCACTATCGATTCTTCAGTTGATTGACATCTAGGTGAGTTTCATTTCCTATCTATTGTGAACACAGTAGCAATGAACATGGGTGAGCATGTATCTCTGTGTTAGGACAGAGAGTCCTTCAGGCACATGCCCAAGAGTCTTATATCTGGGTCATTTGAAGTTTTATTTCTAGTTGTTTTTAGTAATTGTCATACTATTTTTCAAAGTGGTCAGACTCCTTTACACTCCCACCAGAAGTGAGTATATAAGGATTCTCTTTACTCCACACCCAAATGAGCATTTATTGCCATTTGTATTCTTGACAATAGCCATTTGGCCAGGGATGAGATGGAATCTTAAAGTAGTTTAATCCACATTTCCATGATAGCTAAGGATACTGAACACTTTTTAAAATGTTCATTACTTGTTTGCATTTCTTCTTTTGAGAACTCTCAGTTGCATGGTCGATTCCTAAACTATATTGTTTTCTTGATGTTTAGCGATTTGAGTTTTTTGTGTATTCTAGACACTAAAACTCTGTCAAATGTATAGCTGGCAAAGATTTTCTCCAACTATGTGTGTGGCCTCTTCACTCAACTGACAGTTTTCTTTGCTGTACCTCTTTAGTTTCATGAGATCCTATTTGTTGATGATTGGTCATATCTCCTCCACTACCAGAGTCCTATTCATAAAGGGAACTATGCCTGTGTGTTGAAGTGTACTCTCTGGGTTTTCCTCTGGCAGTTTTGGAATATGAGATTCAGTGCTGAAGTCTTTGATCCATTAGGAGTTGAGTTTTTTCAGAGTGGAAGATAATGATCTAGTCCATTATTCTGCATGATGATGTACAGATTCTCCAGAATAATTTGCTCAAGATACTGTCTTTCCTCCAGTGTTTATTTCTGGCATTTTTGTCAAAAGTCAAATAGTTATGGTTGTGTGAACTTACATCTGTGTCTTCTACTCTATTCCATTGATCTGTGTATCGGATTTTGTGCCAGCATCACACTATTTTTACTACTATGCCTCTGTAGTAAAACTTGAAGTCAGATATGAAGATATTTTCCATAGTCTTTTTTTCTTCAAAATTGCTTCCAGCTCTCTGTGGTCTTTATTTTTTTCATACAAATTTTAAAATAATTTTTTCTATGTCCATGAAATAGCCCTTGAATTTTGATTGGGATGACATCAAATATGTAAATTGCTTTTGGTTGGAAGGCCATTTTCACAATATTAGTTCTTCCAACCCATAAGCATGGGAGGTCTTTCTATCCTCTAGCATTTTCCTCAGTTTCATTATTCAGCATTTTAAAGTTGTTTTTATGCAGTTTTTCATACATTTCAATTAAAATAAAACTACATCACTATGTCACTTTACCTTTTCCCCTTAAGCTCTTCCAAGACCCAACCTTCCACATCCTTCCATATCCACCTCCCCACTCTCAAATTGAAAGCCTATTTCCCAATTACTATTGTTACATGTATGTGCATATATGTATGAATATGTGTATATGTATATACACACAAATATATAAACATGACCTGCTGAGTTCATTTTTGTTGTTTGTGTATATGCAGTCTCAGGGTTGACCCTTTGTATTGGATGACAAGTTAGAGACCTCATCCTTGGGAGAAGCTAATTCTCCCTCTCAGTAGTCATCAGTTGCCTGTAGTTCCTTGTTCAGGATTATGACCCCATGAGATTTTCCTCCTTTCATGTTAGCATGTCTATTGATCTTGTCATGCCTCAGATCTTGTTTATGTAGCCTTTTCTATGAGATACTGTTTTACAGCAAACTTCCTGGTACTCTACCCCTTAAAATTTTTCTACCCCTTCTTCTGTGGTGTTTCATGAGCCATAAGGGGAAGAACTGTGATGTAGATGTATGGACTGCACTAGGCTAC